ATATGTTAAATTTACACTTTGTTACAATATTGCAAAATAACTTCATTTTTCTATTGACAATAGCAAATCTGAATTATTTCAAAAATTGTTAATTTTAACATATGCGAATATTATTAATAAATATAAACTATTATTTTTTAAGCAAAAAAAGATTATTTGATAATTTACACTGTTAGAAACAAATGCGGAAAAAGAAAAGAAAGTTACGAGAAGCAAATCTCGAACACGGGATTTTTTATATTCCAGCCACTTGCCTTAGAAACACTTACTTCTTAGCATTTATCGTCTGTTTCGTCGGCTCGGTGGAAGGGAGACGTGCGTTCTCTTCCATTGGTCGACCGGGTCGAGCTCACACGGATAGGGTGACGTCATCGGTTCTCGGTTGTATTTGTGTGATGCTGCCGCTCGTTTCTGGCAGCACTGGCTCTGACCGCCGTGGCGTACGCACGCGATCGGAGCCTCTGTGCTGCTTACAGCGTTCTAGCCGTTATTCTTTATTTGAATAGAGAAAGAAGATAGAGTAGTTAATCTATAGATTCTTATCGATTAAAATTAAAATATAAAAAGGTGAATAAGGGAAAAAGATTCCCCCCTCGGAGGGGGGATTTAATTTAACGGATAAACGGAGTCTGCTCCTTAAGAGAATAGGAGGAAAATAAAATAAAATAGGGTATGGACAGAAAAAGGAAAGGAATGGACGAGGTCATCAGCGATCGAGAGATAGACGTAGAAGTGGTAAGGGGAAAAAGAGACGCAACAGAAGCTAACTTAGATAAAATAGCTGCCCAAGTACAACAAAATTGTGAAGAATGGCAAACAGTTGCGAAAAGAAAAAGACAGGTAAAAGAAAAAATGACGAACCTAGAAGATGACCTATCAGAGGGGATAACATATGACGACAATAGAGAAGAAATAATAAAAGAAGGGATGACCTATAGATTTAAACGTGTCGAGAGAAATAAACAATTAGAAGAGGAACCAGTAAAAGTAACGGAACACGTATCAATAGGTAATAGTAGAAGTAAAGAAACAATAACGCTCGCCACACGGGAAGTAAATGGCGTAAGTCGAGAAATCTATATTAATTATAAAGGCAGTTTAGTAAAAAGTAGTGAAATTAATGATAATGACAAAAGATCTGACACGTCAAACAGATTTGAAGAAGACTTTTTTAATAATTATAAGATAAATATTAGGCTTAGTAGAGAACAAGCACAGACAAAAAAAGAAAAAAATATGGCGAAGATGTGGTTGTTATTAAATAAGCTAAAGATAAAACCAGTCACAATTACTATGACTAGTTTTTTAACAGCAGAAATACTCTTTTTGAATTGCACAGACGCTAATAAATGCTTAGACATTTTAGAAAAGGAATCAGAAGGGAATGGAATCACGGCTAGAATAGATGCCAGAAGTACCTCCTGCCGCGGGGTAATTACGGACTGGCCAGAAAAGATAGAAGAGCTAGTAGAAGCCATTACAGACGACGAAAAGGGAGACATTTTTAGATTGGAAAGGATGTGTAGACGTAAATGGGACACGAAACAGAAGATGTTCACGAATGTAGCTACTGAGAACATTGTCATTACAATGAAGGGAAGCAAATTGAAGGGAAGTATAAGCCTATTTGATAATAAACTAGCAATTAAAATAAGGCCCTGTCGCTGCCATAATGCAATGCTTTAAATGTTATAAGTTTGGACATATTAAAACTACATGTAGGAGTAAAGAAAAATGTGTTATTTGCGACCAAATAGCTCATGGCAGATGCGAAAAAGAGGTATGCTGTACAAACTGTGGAGGCCAACATAAATCAACTTTTAAAGGATGTCCAGTCTATGAAAAAAATAAGAGCATCAACTTAATTATGCCATATCATAACGTATCATATTTTAAAGCTGTCAATGTTTTATTGGGTAGGGAGGATAAGCCTGCCATGGTCTATGATAGATACATAGAACCGGAAAGATGGCCATCTTTAACCAAGAAAAAGGTAACACATAGAGAGGAAAGAGTAATAAGGACAAAAAGTAAGGAAAAAATAAATGAGAAAGAAACCCAGGAAAAACAACAATATAGGACTATTACCCGGGAGATGAACAGACAAGAACGAAAAGAAGACTATAAACAAAGTAACAATAAAAAAGAAGAAATTTTTTGTGAAGGAAAAAAGGAATTGCCGTCAGAAACAATCCGGGAAAGGAAAATATAGAAACACAAGTGGCGAAACAGGTAGAGGGAGTGACAGGAGGTGAAAAGAAAAGAAGTGTACTAGAGCGAAGAGAACTATTAATAAAAACTCTGATTGAAACTTTGAAAACGGACAAAGAACTAAGAAGAGAAGTGTTAAGAATAGAGGAGGAACAGGGAGGTTCGGAAGACGAGGGGGAGGAGATAGGCGAGCAGGCGAGAGGGATGAGGGAGACGAGAGAGAAGAGGGCAAGAGAGGAGGAACAAATAAAGAGATATCGTAGAATGGCAAGAGAAGTAAAAGAAGAATGGAGAAGAAATGTGCAGGGAGGGGACTCAGGCTAGGCCTCTCTTTAGGGAGAGATCGTTTGTTGTCCCAACTATAGATATATATACAGGGTGAGGCAAAAGTATGGAAACCCCCGAATAAGTTTTGAGGAAGGCATTTTACGAAAAAATGTTAAATACAAAAGTTTTAGGAAATTTCTCTGGCTTTTCAATGGTGACCTTGGATTTGACCTTGACCGTGACCTTCAAGGTCATATGAAGGTCAAGTCCATTTTTTTAAATAGGAACCCCCATTTTTCATCGTAGATTCAGAAAGAGCGGAAAATTTTACATCGGAATATGACCTTGACCATGACCTTGAAGGTTATATCGAGGTCACGGCCATTTTTTCAAAAAACGAGAACGTCTATTTTTATCGTACATTTGGAAAGTTTTAAGATAAATGTCACATTAAGCTCCCCCCCCCCTCCACAAACGAGAGGAAGATATGTTTTCCTATGTATTTTGACATGCTAATTTCAAATCCGGAGCAATTTTTTGGCACTGTTCAGTAGGTTCCGAGAAAAACGTAAAAAATACCAAAAAATTGTATGTAAGTGAGTTCGTTAACCAGGAATGCCTGTTATCACCGGACACCGCGTGAAGGTGAACTCTTGTCCAGCGCGCGCGCGCGCGTGTGTGT